TGTATACTTAACACTATGTTATTATTAGTATGTATATTATATATTGATCCTTAACCTTTATGTATATGCACATATAACATGATTTTTGGTGTCCTATAGGATTTAGATAGTTTTCTATAGGACTTGATTTAGTTTTATAGGATAATATGCAAACCTTTAGAACACCTTTAAAATCCTATAGGATCCTGTAGGATTCCTATAGGACATTTTCGTAAGGGTAGTACTGTACAAATGAGTAAAGCCAATTCGATTGTAGTTCACCTTAAACTGGAACACTCCATAAACATCAGGAAGCTTAAATTTAGTAGAGAATCTTCCATCTGAAAGAAAAAAAAAACCTACAATATAACTAAAATGCAAAGATTGAATGAAAACCAAGACAAAGTTTGCAAGGTGAATATATAAATATAAATCCTGGTATATTGGAAGTTGATATTTAAAAAGATCTGTTGATTTTGCTTAACCGATCAACCCCTAGGCCCGCATTAATTAATGCAGGCCGAGGTCACCAGGGACGATCATAATTAATTATGCAATTAATTAACAATAATTATTTAAAAATCGTATGCACGGTTTAGTGTGCATGTAAGTTAAAAGAATATGTGAGAAAATATCACGTTTCATATCAAGACGTTTATAAAAAATATTCCTTCTTCCATTTATAATTAATTTCTAAGTTTAGGGTAATTAGCAAATTTGTAATTTGATCGTTTTCGTAACATGATCGCGGCGTCGGCGTCAATACTGATGGTGAATAAAATCACCTATAAACACACTTTATTTTCAGAAAATAACTATTTTGACACTTTCCTACTATAAATATATTTTCAAAATACTGTACCAGATTTGGTTATTATATCGACATATTTCCGCGTAAAATTGATTTTTTGTGGCTGAAAGCAAAGCATGTGCTATCAATTACGCTTGACGCCATCTTGTGTGTTTACAAAAATGAAAATGAACCCTCAACATGATCGTTGAACTTTTCAACTTTCTGTTTTTTGGTGACCTGCGCCTTCTACACGTTGAGACAGATGAGAAAATAAAGAAAAATTTTGATACCAAGACCTTGGAAGGCTAGGCAGAAAATTATAGATTTTACCTCGCGAGGTAGGTTAGGCTATTCACGGTATGGTGCGTAGTGGGGAATGGGTGATTGAACGCGGCAAGGCGCCTAGGGCCCCTTCGATGTAAAATTTTATATTATTTTTATCTTCCAAAGTTCTTCGTCAATAAATTCAATTTTAAATTTATTTTGTAAAGGAATAATTTGTGCTGATGTGGATATGTGTTTGTATTCTGACTACTGACTCAGGATTCAATAATCTATTTTTAAAATTATTCATCAAAAAATATTTATAAAACTAGATATTGCAAATTGCAAGTGATGTGCTGCGAAGTACAACTGCATAAAATGTTCTTCGAACAAAATTATTTATGCGAGTCAAGTGAAAATAATGAATAATAAAAATATAACAAATAATATGAGCAAGACTCATTGTCTAAACAGCGTTGGTACCGTGTACAATAGTGTTTTGCTGCAGTGACATCTCTCTGCTGGCGACTCGCTGCTGCTGGCGATGACTCGCTGCTGGCGAATCGATCTGCGCATGTGTATAAAATGGTATTTATCACATGCGGACGTTGGTGCGTGTAGGTTAGTCTACAAACGTCGCCTAAAGTAATTGATTTTACCCGGCAGAACGAAGAAGGAAACTCCGCTTTTCAGTTGTCTTAGGCGATGGTTTTTTGACAAACAATGACCTTTCAGAGGTCAAATTGCTGTCAAGAATATGGATTGGCTGCTTCGCAGCAATAAAACAATAATTGGAAATAATTTATTTTTTAAATTTTTTTCATAATTTCACAATACTAAATAATAAGTTATTTAGAAGCATGTTTTTATTATCTTTTGCACTTAACTCTTATCACCTTAGCTATAGGCCTATAACTCTACTTATTACATACTTTTGCTTTTAAGCGATGTGTGGACAAATGGGTCAATACAGACAAATTCCAGTTGTACATCATTAGAATCAAATGGTCTCCACTGTCCGGCCACAAGCTGTTCAATTAGTATACTGTATTCCTAAAAAAAAAAAAAAATGATCATTATTTTACAAATTAATATTTTTTTTTCTCTATCACTTAAATTAAAAAAAACATTTAAACTGCAAACAGGAACAGTTAGAGGCTTAGGGTGATTACACTCCAAAATACAGACAAAAAGATTTCTAAATTGTCAAAATTTGTAATTCAGGGAGTTAAAATTCTTCATCAGAGATCGGTGGTAAGCTTGACTATTTCTATACCTTGAAATTCATGCATATTTGAGAAATCAGCCTTCAAAGTTTATGATTTCAGGCATTTCTCAGGCAGAAACCATCACTAAATCCTTAAAAATTGTTGTTTTAAAATTTAAAATAGGGAAAATAACAACATAGCATGATATATAAAGGTGAAATAAAATAGATTTCAAAAATGTTGCCATCCCAGGATGTTTTGGTCATAATCTCTGAAACAGGATTTGCGACGAGTGACTGGTTTGGTTTGTCTTTGCCACATGTATCAATCATAAACTTAAGGACAACACTCCCAGCTACAGAAAGGTCATCCCCTGCCTTAGCTTTTGACCATGCTTGAGGCTCTAACAATCAATATTCATATTTTAAAGAAAGGTTATTTGGATTATTAGTTAGAAAAGATTGTTCGTAATGACGTATCGCCAGAAGAAGATTGTTACTTGTGCAGTATGATGTTTCAAAGGCCGGTTTTCAAGCTTAAAAATAAAAGCAATTTAAAGCCTAAGTAACATGAATTTCAGACCCTGAAATTGAGCAAAAGGTCTACTTACAATATAGTACCAGCAGTATAAAAAAATTAAAAAAAATTAAAAAAATAACGAAAACGGACTGATTTTAAGTTTCCAATTTCACTGTGCTTTGGCAAAACAATATTTTTTTTTGGCCTCATAAGCAGATGTATTAAGGCAAGCTATGAAATAGAAAGGCCTTACTACATGATCTTCAATGGTGTAAGCAGCTGGGGGTGTCTTTTGTCCGACAATATGATGGCTAACACCGGTGACACGAAGTACGCCCTTCTCCTGAAAAAAAAAAAAAACAAATAGTGTAACTAAAAATCTGCCGATATTATTGTCTAGGGATAACGATTTCAAAGAGAGCATTATATCTTAGTCAGCTAAATGTGTGGTAGCCACTGTGTTTCACAATCATGGAGATCACTGGATCCCTGATTCAATCAAGTTCATAGTCCCTCTGTGCAACATGGCCCATGTGCAAGAATGTACAGGTAGTATACTCTTCAGCAAAGAGCCAGAGATTGCTCTTACACTACAACACTAAAAAGACCCACTAGAAAATTTTTTCCGACTTTTGTGATTTTCCTTATGCTGTTATACACCAAAAAAAACAAAAAAAAAACAAAACCAACTTTGTAACTATTGGTTAGTTTTCGCCGCACAATGTTACCTTAACTTTAACGTTAGTACCCAACTTGCAACGCGGTAACTCCGCCCCTTTTGTAAACAAATATAAAATACAGTAAGCATTCGCAAACCCATAACTAACGTCCGTCGAGCACATAAAATCCTGAAATTAACGTACTCCACAACGCAAGATGAATAAATTATGACGTTAAGGTTAACGTCGTGCAGCGAAAACTCCCTAATAATACACTGTAAAACCTTATTTTTGCGATTTTTCAATTTGAAACATTTTTCAGCTTTTTTAAGTTCATGATTTTTTTTTTCAACATGATAAAGAACAAAGTACACCTACCATTATGTTTTTTAGCATATTCAATAGCTTAATTTTTGTGACCATCGTTTTATCCAGAAAATTAAGGGTTACGAAAATAAAGGGCTTTACCGTATTGAAATTCATGCAGAATAAAGATGAATCCCTGAATTGAATACCTGTATAAATTTTAAATGAAAAAAAAACGCAATAATTAGACTTATGTATTAAATCATAAATATATACATCCCACTTATCATCCTATGATTAAGATGAAAATTAAAAAGCACTATGGAATTACTCTGTAACTTTCAGAGCCTGCAACAGCATTTTGAAGGGCAGACTGGAAGTAAGCATCGCTGAAAAACTCCAAGGAACCAGAGAACACAACGCGAGCATTGTTGCGGGCCTGGAGGGCAGTGATGAACTGAGTGTCCTTACCAACAGCGTGTGGATAGTCGACAATGTCATCAGAAGGAATGTGGGAGTATGAGGAAGAAGTACCGTGTAAGATATCCATTACCAGGGGGTTCTCCGGGTCGGCAGTCATTCTAAAATTATGAAAATACATAGTGTTAATAAATAGATATATTTAACTTTCTTCAAGTTAGTGTTCTTTAATGTCTTATACAAGTTCACCCTCCAATTTAGGCTACGTTTGGGCCCTAATTGGAGGGTGAACTTGGAGGGTTGTCTAGGGATTCGGTCTCCTGTTAGCATAGTATTTTGCGGAAATACAACCTTTCATTTTAATATTACTACTGGGGCTAAAAACGACAGGGGCTGAAATGAACCATAACATCGGGGTAACCCCCTACTCTTCCGAAAGATGCAATGGGTTCTTTAAAGTGCATACGAGCCAGATGTATACACTGGACGTCCATTTTAAGTCCTTATCCGAGAAGACTTGGTTCTACCAACCGAATCATGGGCGAGGAGCTGTAGCTAGCGGCGCCCCTGCCTTACTGCTCGGCCACTCGACTCGCCACGTACTCGCCAAGTACAAGTTCCTCGTTTATAACAATTCGTGGCCAATGGCCAAATTGCAAGTTACAATTACACGACGGAATGGCAATAAAACATATAAAAAATTACATAAAATGGAAGATAATTATTGTCATAATAAAATTATTATTATAAGAATTGACATTAACAATAAAATTTAATACGATAAAACTTTAAATTAAAAAGGAAGATTACTATTATCATTTTCGTTCTTAAGCCTAGTTTTGTAAAATTGCTACTGCAATTGCTATATACTGAAACTGATCTTGACACGATATGGAACACTTCCTTATTTGTCATCGATGCCATCAGCAAAGCTGAACCAGTTTTACTTTTCAGACTTGTTGGCAATGTACCATATTGCAAAATACATGAGGTGAGCTGGCCACTATAAACATATTTTTTCCAATTTTATCTGCATATTCTGAAGCAGTTTAAGTTCAATCAGTGACACTCCTAAAGCTATGAATAGTGAGCTTTCGATTTGCACGATGACGCGACACTAGAACAGAATCACTCATGCATGACCGCCCAACAGGGCATCCTACGTACCCTGCATATATAGATTTGGCCGAATTGTGGCCTAGAATACACGTAACGGGCAGAACTTAACGTTCTCGCATGCGCAGATGACATTCAGTCACGCAATCAAAAGCTCCCTACTTTCAATTTCATATACTCAAAGTTAAGCTGATCTATTACAGCTGTGTTTTCCTCATCAAATTCAACACCACAATTACTTCCAATTCCCCTTATAGGGTCACCTGTAACCAAAGGATTTAAATGTAAACCTATTCAATTTATTAAACACAATTATATATTTTTTTTCTTGATAGAAGATGAGATACTGACCAAAATGAACAGCCCCAAAATATATAAGAAATTATGCATTTTTCCTCCCAATAACCATACCGGTACTGTAAGGCATTTATCAATTCCTATTAAGGCGAGACTTAATACCTTGTTTAGCAAACCCGCTGCCCGCCAAAAATAATGATTTCATTTTTTATTTTTTACCAATTAGCGCACCTTCCACCACAAAAAAAACAAACAAACATAAATTTCAGAAAATTAAAAGTTTTTCTTTATTTTTTTACACCCGCTGCTGTATTGAAATCTCCAAAAATAAAATATGTATATTTCTTCCTACTTATATAAATTTAAAGCATTACACTTTATAACATTTTATTTTTATTTTCTCCTCCATCTGGAGTTTTTTGGCAAAACTATTTGCTAAATAAGAAAACAACATTATATTTTTATTTTTTTTCCCGCAAATCTGATGATCTTTAAAAAAATAACTTTGCGAAACAAGGTATAAAAAAATCTTGCCTAAACGGGGTACATCACAACAACAATGCAATACAATACTGTATACCCTTATTTCAAGCAATGTAAATCATCCAACATAAAATTTTCAACTCAAGAATTTTAAGAAAATGAGGAAACGGAAGTTAGAAATACACTACCATATCACAATCGTATATTTTTTACTGTTTTATTATGTTTACTGCACTTGTACTCACCTACACTATAAGGAGGAAACATATCTACCATGCATGTATCAAAATCTTATATCCTTCATTGCATTTTGAAAGTTTACTGTCCTTGCACTCACCTATACTTGAACCTGCAGCTACTAAAACATTACCACCGCCATCAATGAAATCTAAAACTGTATCTTCTCCAATGTTGCCTCCAAATTCTTAAAGGTTAATAAGAATAAAAACATCATTAAAACAAACTTCTTGGTTTACAGCTGACATTAAATGTGCTATACAACAGAGAAAAAAATACACTTCCAAACATACGAATTAAATAACCTTTGGAAGAATGGATTTTAGCAAAACTGATGTCACCCTTGCAACTTATTCTACTGCTCTTGAAAACTGGTTGACAAATGTGAGTCATAATTGTGATGGGACATAAGCACTCTGTGAGGTGACCTAAAGCAACGAAAGAAATGCCAGTTGCTCTCAGTCGCATCAACGTTCACTTTGCTGCACTACAATGTAAATTACAAGCAATTGAAATTTATTGTGCAATATTAGTGACCCAGCAACTCAAATTGTTAATGTCGTATGAAATTATGGTAGCATTGCATAGCAATGAGTTGGAGAGTATCTACAGTAGGAAATCACAAATGCACTCAGAGCAACTAAAGTTGTCCCAACACTCCTTCACTTTTAAAACTCCATCTCCCACACATAACAAACTGTCATTACAAAAAAACTCTTTTGTGCCAAATTCATTCTCATTTTTAACTTAAATTTTTAACAAGAAAAGTGAACCTTTTTAAAATAATATTTTGATAGTAAATACTATTTTAATAACTGATTATCGTTGTTAGATATCATTCTAAAATATTTCAAGAATTGCCATGTATGGCAACCTTCTCTGAACTTTCGAAGCCAATTTTCTTGTATCTTGTAGTCGCTTGCATTATGCATGGTTGCGTGATTGTGGTTGCTACCAAGTTGAGTTGCTTTGAGTTCAATCGAGTCAGAAATGGCAACATAAACCTACCAACAATTTCAATACTTCATATAATGCATTTCTTACAATTAATTCTATAAATTGTAACTTTTGGTGTTATCTTATTGCCATGCAATTAAAAAAAAAAAATTAAAAAAAATTATGCCTACTTTAATTTATTCTTTTTAATTATAAAGTTTTACTATAATATGATCTCTAAACATATTTATATTATTGCTGTGGCATGAATCTTCAGTATCAGAAAAACAAATATTCTTGAGAAGTACCGTACTTACCCTCAACTGAGGGTAAGATGTTCATAAAGGTACTCTCCATAGCTTGAGTTTTAACCCTTAAAATACCGAATTCCGAGGGGCAGCTACCATATAGAACTGGATTAATTTTTCCATTACCGAGTCGCTTCTCTTCTTATGGATTTTTGAACACTTTCTTTTGATTTGAGAAAAAAAAATGTTTATAAAAACAAATGTTCCTTTTGAAATGGGCTTTCTTTTGAAGTATAGTATACAATTTTATGATTTTTTTTTTCTGTATGAAAGGTGAAAATGAAAATTCACCATATCATGAAACAATTTTGTTGGCGAGTTGTATTTGTCAACTGATTTCCTTCGTCAGTTATATGTATTATTTCAAGACATCAATGTATACAAATAATATAAAATGTTAATTATGGATTGGGCTTTATTTTGATATATAGTAAATAATTTTACTTTTTTTTGTTTGAAATGTGTATATGAACAATCAATAAATTGTTTTGCTTGTGATCTGTAAACATAATAATTATATCCAAAATTGATCACCATTGGTCTGGCCTCCAGTGGATTAGAGACACTCAAGCCCTGCTACTACGTCAAGGTTGATGATCATAGCAGAGATAATAGGTTGCAAACATTGTTTGCCCCTTGAAAACATGTAAAATGTTTATATACATACATAGGCCTACATACATACAGTAATTATTCAGACATTTATTTACATATCTAGTCAAATTTACTAAGGAATGACACATTTTGCTAATATTTACTTACCTGTTGTCATACTCACAGTTTAGTGGTGGTATTCCTTGGTGCATTTTGTTTTGTAGTCCATGAGTATGTGGAATCACTGGAATCAAGGCACAGGACACATAAGCTCGTTGCTGGGTGTAAAGTTTGATGGCGCAGGGTTTCGTGCTGAAAGAAAGTGGATACATACTTTGATTTGGGATTCCAATCAAGAGGTTGGATAGGTTAGATACAGAAAAATTATTATAATTACCTCAACATTTTTCTGTGTCTTTCTCTCCTATGCCTCTCATATGTCCTCGAGTTGCACAGGTTTGTCATGAGAGTCACCTTCCTCTTGTCCTTCCATACAACGTACAGTTGATTTCCATTTCTCCTGAATACACAGTGTCGCCGACAGCAGGATTAGCATTCTGGATGTCTTCTGCTGTTCCTATCCTATTCGCTCTCAGTGTACCACATGCACCGCAACCTATATCCTGTAACTGAGTAAAAAGTTCTGGAGAAGAAAAATAATTGGTGATTCTTACCTGCAATAACCTCATACAGGCCAGTAACTGTTCGCCCAGTGGCGGCTTGTCCTCCCAACTTGACACGCAGCTTCTGGTTGTAGACATAACCTGTTCTGGCATCGAACAATGTCCAAGCAGTCATTCCCCGTTTGTGTGGCTTCTTCGGATGATACGTCATGAACCCAACCTTACCTTTGAAAGCAATGACACTCTCAGCTACTGAAACCTCTCTAGATCGAC